CACACACACACACACACACACACACACAACACACACACGATGCTCTCACACACGAACTGACACACACACACCACACACTCACGCTTATATAATACTCTACCCACATGTGCATACACAAATAGATACTAACACGAGTTTCAGAATAGGGGGACATCATTAGCATATTAAAATTGCTACAGCAGCATATTCTTTATAGGCTTACTTTATTGTGGACAAAAACTAGGGCCGCCTTATATTCATTATAATGAAATACAAAACCAACCTCGTCGTCTTCATCCACATCAACGTGGGCCTCTGCAACAACTTGATCTCCCATGGCCATGGTTACTCTAAACGAGAACCCAAATAAAAGTAAACTATAAAAACAAAGTAAACACAGTGCATGTCGCGTTTCCTCCTAGATATCTAGATCTAGATTATCTAGAGCAGTGGTTTTCAAACTTTTTTCGTCCACCGCCCCCTTTTTCAAACCCAGCCGAGTCCCAGCACCCCCTACTCCGCCCCACCCATCAATCTGACATAACGACATGCACAATATAATAACTATCACAAATAAAGAGAGAGCTCAAACAGCAGGGTAGAAAGTAACGTGCCTAAATTCTAATGATTTAGTTCGGAATATTAGTTGGGTCACAAGTCACCATCTTTACAGTCTGAAATTAGGCGTGGACGAAAGATAATAAAACACATTTTTCTTCAATCTTAAGCAAGGGCATTGAGAGCAAAATACTGTCATTTTATGCTTATATAGTTGTCATCGGTACTAAACGACCAGTGTTATTAACATCAATAAAAATAAAACATGTATTATAACATTTACAGAAGCAAAACGTTAAACGAAAATTTAAAAATAAAATAAAAACGCCCGTGATCATTAGTCTGAAAACAAATTGACATTATATTTATGAAACGTTTTCTCCCATCAACATGCTGCAATGTAGTGGCCTGAGATTTGTATCAAATATCTCCATTGTAGAAAATACAAAAAACATTATTAAGTTGTTCAAATGAGAGAAACCACACAAAAGAAAAAGTATGCATGGATCTTAGTCTGTAATTATCACCGTCATCGTCATCACCATCATCATCACCATCATCATCATCATCATCATCATCATCATCATCATCATCAGCAGCAGCAGCAGCAGCAGCAGCAGCAGCAGCAGCAGCAGCAGCAGTTTCATCAGCAGTGGTAGCACGTGCACTTAAAAAACTCTGTTAAACAAGTGAATGTTTTGCTTTTAAAAAAAGGAAGAAAAAAAAAAGAAAAGACAAATTGAGATATCAAGTAAGGGTAAGCTACGGAGTAAGCATGCGCAAATAAGTTATTGACACTACCCTAATGGGAAGGATGGACATGCTAAGACGGAACCAACTTATCAACATCATGTTTCAGATTGGTCATGCAGTAGCAGACGCAAATCGCTACGCTTCGTCAGCAACCTTGTCACTGCACTGAAGCAGGAAAAGAGATGAACAACAACTTGATCTTTTCCCACTTGGAGGGATATTTGTCTTGCACAACAGTTTTCAACCAGAATGACTGGTATGGCTTTTTGAACAATGGTTTGATTTCAAAGTCACATTTCATCGTCAGAAGCTCTTCTTCAATTGCTACTTGCAAGTTATCATCTGTTTCAATGTTCAATGGGTCCAGTATCCAGTATGGAATTTCCAGTTTAAAAATATCAGGAGGCTAGGCCTAAACCTTGTCTTCATATCAGCATGCAAATCTCTGAGGTGGTTGCTATATATATATATTTGTGGTTCTTCGTCAGAAACGCGCCCTTCTTTCAGTCTCTTTGTCAAGCTAGGAAACTGAGAAATTTTCTTCTGCCAATGTTTAGGCGGATCATTTCCAATTTCGACAAGAATGACGAAAGGCTTGATCAGGTTGGTGTTATCCCCCTGCAGCTGAAAGTTGAACTGGTTGAACTTTGTGAAAAGATCTGTGAGGAGCGCAATGTTGTTCTTGTGTTCTTTCAGTTTATTGCCGAGATCACTGTCTGTTTCTTGAAAAAAGCTCCAACACAGAGTCAAACAGGCAGAAAAATAATCGTGTTGAACAGTTTCCTTTCGAGAGCCACCAGACTTCAGTGTGCAAAAGTAAGCATTGAGAGTACTCGTCATTTTCAGTGCGCAGCTATTGAAATAGTCTCGAGTTCAAAGCGTGGACTTTGATCTTGTTCACACACTTGATGGCAATGGCCAGTGTGTCATTCAGACTTTCATTCAGGTTTTTTGGCTCCAAATTCTGTCTGAATGACACAGTAAACAGTAAATACTATATGGACTAATTTCTTCAAGAAGTTCATAAATCCACGTTTCCGACCTGCCATCGACGGTGCCCCATCTGTTGCACAGGCAACTGTATTGGTCAAAGGGATCTGTTTCTCCTCGAAAAATTCTTGAACCACTTTGAAAATGGACTCGCCTTTGGTATCTGTTTCCAACAGTTTCGCAAATAACAATTCTTGCATTATTTCCTCACCCTCTATGAACTGATATCCAGTTAAAGGCTGAGCTCACGTCCTTTCAGCATTTTGCTCTGTGATTCCTCAGCATTTGCTGACATCTCATCAATACGTCTTTGAATGGTATTGTCACTTAGTCACTTAGTGGGAGAACTTTCAACACAGGCTCCGGGGCACGTTGCAGGACTGTGCTGACCACCTTTCTTATCGCAGGCAATATGAGGTCCTCACCGATAGCATGGTGTTTCCCTGCCTTTGTAATTAGCTGAGATAAATTATATGTTGCTCGTAAGCCTTCATCAGCTTGATCCACGTTGGCTACAAACACCGGTTTAACTGATTTTCATTTCTGAAAATTGATCTTTTTAGAGTTTTGAAGTATGCCAGATCTTTGTCAGATTTGTCGTGATGAATCTTCTTTATATGGGATTTGGGGGCTGGGAAAGAAAGTTCTTAGTTATAAGTAGTATTGTAAACTATGCCTAAGCTATCAATTTTTGTTTTTGTTTTTTATGTGGCTTTTTTCCCTTCATCATGTTTTATGTTGCATGTCATGAAAATTTCACACCGCCCCCCTTAGCGCCCACCAGCGCCCCCCAATCGCCCAGTTTCGCCATAGCGCCCCCCAACCTCTTGCCACTGCCCCCCTGGGGGCGGTAGCGCCCACTTTGAAAACCACTGATCTAGATCTTTATCTATCTAAATCTAGGTCTATATATTATCTCTATAGATCTAGATCTCGGTCTACAAGTGCCGGGTAGTAGAGTCTGAAATTATAATTTTGCACTTATTAAGGTAGGTTATCTGATAATCTACTCAAGAATAAAAGATTTTAAAAAGCAAAACAATAACAACAGAAGATCTAGATCTAATAGTATAACAGCATAGGCCTTCTCATTCCAATCCCTGTATCCCGGACGAAATTGGCTCCGGCATTGGAGGCCGGGGTGGACAACCTTATCTTGATAAGCTCACCTCGAGACCGGTCCTTATCTTATCGAGGATCAAAGTGAAAAGTGGCGATTAAATGCGAAAAGCGACGATAGGCAGATGTTCTAATACTAATAATACGTATACAGGTGATGGAACATTTTTGCAATACGCTTTTGCGTGCCGATAGTGTAATAGTAATGTGTGTAGTGTGTATAGCCGTCTAGTCTGTCTAATCTCCTAGCCTCTTCATTGTTTCATTCAGCCTCTTGGGTGTACACGTTTTTTTTCTTTTTGGTTTGAATGTATTTTCACTGAACTCAATTCGAAGGATTAAATGTGTGCTTATATTATGTGTTTTAGTGTTCAGCCCAGATTCTAGTTTTCTTTCATCTTGAATGTTATTGTTACTAGAATCTACTGTCACTGTGAAACAGTTTTCAGCTGACTTCTCAGTTTCAGTGCAATGAACCGTGTGAGCAACATTTGAACTTGGGAAGAAAGTGTAGGGGAAGGGGCAGTAGAAGTGGTTATGCCAGCCAAAAGGAGATGCAAAATAACAAAAATATAGCATTCCAAAAGATTCGGAAAAAAAGCACAGTGGATCAAAAGTGTTCCAAAATTAATAGTAGAAGATTCTCGCTATAAGGGATCCAGTAATAAATTCAAGGAAAACTGTAAAGTAGGCCTAATCTATGAGTTTGGTGTGCTGTTTATTTCCTTTTACTATCTCCCCTGATGATGATTTTGTTTCAACATGACCTGTTCATCTTACTTGATCCAAATTCGAATCAGGTTTATTTCTCTAGCGCTAGATCTAGCGATGTGGACTGGCAGCTCGGCTTTGGCGATCAGAAATCAGAAAGAAAGGGCTCTAGGTTAACTCACTCGCTGTGTTTCCCCCCCACCCCACCCCACCCCATCCTGTGGTGCATTCCGTCTGCTCGCGAACGTCACACATTCGCTCCATCCATCACATTGCTGTGACCTCTCCATCCCTGCATCGGAAAAGTGAGAGGCATGGTAGGCCTCGATAATCTAAACAAGGCTTACGCTGGCTTATCACGCGATGCGTTCTGCTTGTCTGCGCATAACACACCCTCCCTACTCAGTCGCTCCGGCCTTCATTGTTGACGCACATGGGCTCTCCTATTCTTTGTTTCGCTAGATCACCAACAAGTTTCTCAACAGGCGAGGTTTTGAAATATGTATAATTGGCCTATGCACTGTGCACAGCAGCAGCAATATTCCGCTATAACCGACTCGCATGTTTGTCTGATAGCGCTATAGCAGTATTTTATTTACAAAGGTAAAGAGGAGAAAAAAAACGGGGTTTTAGAACAGTGTCTTTATAACAGACTTCTCGTTTTTTCCGGACTCGTTATAAGTGGACTCCACTGTGTGTATATATATATATATATATATATATTTATATATATATATATATATATATATATATATATATATATATATATATATATATATATATATATATATATATATCAGGGGCGGCTCATGGAGCTAAAAAGTGGACGTGCACAAATTAAGCTATCGCATGCTGAAGATAGTCAAGGGAACAGTAAATGAGACGGTGTATAATTTTAGGATCTTTGGGTTGGTAAGAGAGGACCTTGTGCTTTTATTTTCATTCTTTTTACTTGTCGCTTTGATTTCTAGTACTAAATTTGATTGTTAGCTAAACATCAATTTCGTTCATCCTGTATTAGAACTGAACACTCAAGTAATAATTTTCACCACTCCACTACAAAACCATTCAAAGGCACAACTCATATGACGGTCACGTTCATCTCCCTCATGTTCACGGCCACAGAGTCACTTAAAATAGTTGCAAGACAGACAATGAACCAATCACAATTCACTTGAGCACACCGCAGGTTTGCTCCATGGCTCATATAATATTGGCAAAGAATAGCGTACGGTCAATTGCGTTTATTTTTAAACTGCCTACTGTGGGCTGTGTTTCGGCACTATTCGGCCGGAGCACATTTGAGATGTGCCGTCTAATTAATATCAATGTACTGCCAAACTCGCTACGAGTGTCGTTATCTCTTGGGTTATCCACAAGAGCGATTTATAGGTCATGTTACACTGTTGAATATCCTATTATGTTTAGCTAGCTTGCTAAAGCGCGTGGACTGTGGCAGGGCATAGTAAATGTTTTAGGGCGCTATAGACACAGAAATGGGTTAAGGCGCCAGTGAGGACCTTGTTTTGATATATTATTTGGCTAGTGTTTGTTTTTGGCTTCTTTTATTTTATTATTGTAGATGTTTTACGTAATAGAACATTTTAAAAATGTGGGCGGCACTGCACGACCGTGCTCTATGGATGAACCGCGCCTGAGATAAATATATATATATATATATATATATATATATATATACGTACGTAATTATATATATATATATATATAACATTTATATATATATATATATATATATATATATACATGTACGTGTGTATATATATATATTATATTATTTCTCTCTCTCTCTATATATATATATAATATATATATACACACATATATATATATATATATATATATATAATAATATATTATGTGTGTGTGTGTGTGTGTGTGTGTGTGTGTGTGTGTGTGTGTGTGTGTGTGTGTGTGTGTGTGTGTGTGTGTGTGTGTGTGTGTGTGTGTGTCGGGTGTGTGTGTGTGTGTTAGTGTTAAATATTTATTTATACCCCTATCTCTCGACGCGTGGAGAGAGAGAGCGGCGGTGCGTGAAAAAAAAAAAATATAATAAATCCATCGCAGTGTGACGCTCTCTCTTGTGTGGAGAATAAAACAAAATATATTCTCTGTCTTTGGTCGCAGGGAAGATAAAGAGCACACTCTCACAGACGCGAGCAACCTCCCAGATAGAAGACATACACACTCTCATCAAAAAGAGTGCCACACACAAAACCCTGTGTTTTAAAAAAAGTCTTCTTTTTTGTCGTCTCGGGAGGGCGCGGCGAGAGAATATTTTTCTCCCCCCCCCTCCACACCCAAAATTCTCCCCCCTCTTTTCGCATTGACCCTCCGGAAAGGCGGTAGGCCTCCAATGCCGAGGCCAGTCGTGCGGGCTGTATTTTTTGGAACTGAGAAAGCCTTGGTAACAGCAAACAAGCAAGAAAAAAACCAAGCAAAACCGATCTAGAGTAGCCTAGGCCCACGGACAAGCACATTAATTTACCCCCCCCCCCCCCACACACACACATACACACACTCATAGTCTAGCCTACACACTACACGCATTAATTTGCAAATTGCTGAAGTAATCTGTGTGAAGCAAACTGGGAGGCAAATCCTAGAATCAAGATCAAAATGTTCTTTTCCGTTTGTTCATTTTAATTTTCTTTGTTTTTGTTTGGTGCTTATGGTTAATATTACATAAGGCGCAGTACGAATGTTTGTCAATTCAAAGATTTTTGTGGCCTACCTTCTTTTGGAAATCGGTGAAGACTTGCCCAATTGGTCGTCTGCTGGTGAAACCGGAAGTTTTGAAGAAGGACAAGGGACATCATTCTGTTTAAAAAAACCCTCATTCTCTTCCAAGTCGCTTCGATCAACTACACGTGCATTTCAAACGACGTACCAACGAAGCAACATCTTTGTTTACCCTCAGTGAAGCGAATCTTTTTCGCCGAGAGGTTTCTCAAACACCGAAGAATAATCTTTACAAAGCAATTTTTACTTCTTGTTCCAAGGTTTTCAAGAATACAGCAATGGTAAGTTTAAAAAAAAAAACTCATTTCATTTCGTGTAGGCAACGATGGCCATGCCATGTGCCATCCCATGTGAGGAAGGGGAAGGACTTCCGTAACGAGCGACCACCCCATCAAACACAATAAAAAAGAGGCCTAACCCTACCCCAAACCCTAACCCTACCCCTACCCCTACCCCTGCCCCTAAACGACCGTAACCCTACCCCTACCCCTTACCCTACCGCCCTAGCCCTCAATTCTGCTCTGTCTCATAGTGGTTGCTCGTTGCGGAAGTCCTCCCGTGGAAGGACTTCCGTAACAAGCGACCACCCCCACAAACACGATAAAAAGAAGAGACTTACTAAACCCCTAACCCTAGATCCTACCCCAAACCAGAGAGGGTTTACAGTAATAGTAATAGAGAGGTGACACTCGTGGCGGCGCTCCATAACAACAGTGCATTGTAACTTTTGTTTCGCGAATTGCCCGGCGCGGGGCGCGAAAACACTTGCGCGCGGTGATCGCTGCCACGGCTATGCTCAGGGATGCTGTCCTGTCCGGAGAAAATGTTATACCGTCTGTAGTTAGTTCACTTAAGTTACTAGCTAGATTTCTTAGTCTAGGCCTTTAACAAAGAAGGAGACCTGTGAATTCTTCTATGGAAGTTGTTAGGCACGCGTACGCCCGCATAACACTGGATTGTTAGGGGCACGTATTTTCAAAGTCAAGGCCGTTCGTCGGTGTTCCCAAAAGTCCAGGCGTTCGGCGGTTCGTTTCCCATTCATTTCACCAGCGTGCTTGGTCAAGCAAAGGTGGATTGGGATTGAGACTCGTAAACTTGTGACTTGATCTTCTCTTATTGGCCCACATTGGGAAAATAAGCTGGGGCTTATTGGCCCACATGGGCCATTTAAAACATTGTTTTTCAAAGTATTTCATACATCGTATTGTCCCAACTTGTTCCCTAACTTCTTAGCTATTGTTAATCTTTTTATTTTTAGCATTAAATTAGAGAGGAAAACTAGATATATACTTTCTCAATTTATATGTGAGTGATGGGACTAATTTGTTGAGCTATTTTTGAAGATGAGAGGACTTTTCGTTCTTTCTCTAGCATTAATAGTTTTTGATTATTAAGATTAAATAATAAATAATAAATACGGCTATTACTACATCTAGATTATGAATAAGCATTTTGTATCCTTAACTCTTATCCTGCGTCTGTGCCCAGATGCGTATCTTATCAGCAACCGATTACGTCGGACTCGCCGGGCAGGCCGCCGAGGTCACTCAGTGTGTACTGTTGGTGTACAGCGCGCGCGCCGGGAAACGTGTTTTCGACATGAATACCGCGGGAGTGTGTTAACTGATGATGAAAATAACGCTCTATCCTTCATAGCATTCTATTTATAAAGTGTTACAAACACATATAACCCCCTCTCACAAGCTGATAAGACATTACGAGTAGTTACGCCCATTTGAATAACCTTTCTGGACGCTCTTGTTGTTACGAATGACCTGAGGTTCGAAAAGGGATAATTTAGGTCAATTTCCGAATGTTTTACACTCAAATTGTTCTTTGTACCTGCACAAGGGTATTCAAAACTATTAAACAAGCTCATTTTTTATCAGGTAGTATCATTTCATACAAAATCAAGCTCATTTGAAATATTTTGTATAGAAAAATGGAAGTCTTGTTTCCTGACTATCCTTTCGAGCTCCTCATGTCTAAGTGGGTCAATTTCTTCTATAATTCCATTGGACGAACATCTAGAGCTATCAACTTGGCATGTTTTGAATGAGACGTATGCCTCGATTACGAACCAACGCAGGTGGTTCTAGAAGAAGGCCACAAACGCACACAAACTTAAGCAGACTGACGCGCACACACTTGACCTGCGTGAATGGGGATCCGACTCGGGACCCGAATGACACGTAAGAGGATGCGCGCTGCGCGTGCGCTGAACCAGGAGCTACACTGACTCGGGACCAGAACGCAGGCGAGGTGCCGAAACAGGCTTATCGGGCTACATAAACCCGGCTCCCGCAGGATGAGGGTTAATAACACAAATGAGTTTTTGTTATCTTTTCATTTGGGATCTTGTTGGTTTGGGAGTCATTCTAGATCTATACTCCTTAATAATATAGTAGAAATTGACTTACTTTCAGGTGCGAGACGTGTGTATAATTATAATATAAAATAATTTCTCTGATATTTAATGGGGATTTGCTGTTGTATTTTCATTTAAAATTACCATTTGTGGATTGGGGGGGGGGGGGGGGGCCCGCGCCAAACACAGGGGAGATAACTCACAATTTTGTAGGCAAATAATAAATGTTCTAGGGGAAATTTTATATGCCCCTGTGGGCCAATAAAATAAGCACTCCGTATCTAGATCTATTCTAAATTTTCTAGATCTCTGTTTGTCGGGAGGGAGGAAGAGAGAGTGTATTTCTGAATGAAAAAAGACAGATACAGAGAGGAAAAGAATGTGTGTGTGTGTGTGTTTGACAGCGCGCGAGCGCACAAACACACACACTTACACATACACAGAGAGAGATGGAGAGAGAAAGAGTGTGTGACTAGTGAGAGAGAGAGAAATGACAGGGAGAGCGAGAGGGAGGGAGGGAGAGTGTGTTTCCGAATGAAAAAAAGACAGATACAGAGAGGAAAAGAATGTGTGTGTTTGACAGAGTGCTCAAAATAGGAATTTAATATAGATTCATATTATATATATTCCAATTCTATTGTGTTATTGTATCAAACCCTATAGCAATGTAGATGTAAGCCATATATAGATCTAGAATATAGATCTAGATCTATATGCTCCTTGTTTGTTTTGGAGTGTGGTTTTTTTATTTAATTTTTTTTTTTCATTTAGGACTTGTTTTGGCCTTTTTACATGAGGCCCATTGCAGGTTCTTTTTGGGGTTAGGGTTAGGTCTCTTCTTTATTGTGTTTGTTGGGGTGGTCGCTCGTTACTCGGATGTTCTTCCTTTTGATTGGGGGGGGGTTGCGCAAAATTTTCAGACAATCTGGTTGAGGCTCTCATGCAGGTCTAAAAATAGTATCAGTATCGCAGATCTGGAATATTTGAAAACCAAGTCCGATAAGGTCGGTAAGTTCATTTTTGCCGATCGTGATATTATATTCGTTCAGCTTCTCCGCGTCCGGAGAGTACGTTTCACTTTCAAGCGAATAGGCAGCTATGGCAGCAGGCGGAAGCGTATGTAATACCGAGGCTCGATCGGGAAAATCAAGATCTACTTTCGCTTTCGTTACCACCGAGTAGTTTGCCAGCAGTTGTCTGCTAACGCAACATTTGTGACATCCAGGTTGTGCAGTGTAAACGCAATGTCGCCGTGCAAATAAAATTTAATCAATGCTCGGACTCGCCTCTGTGCTGTCACTTGTGGGGAAAAAAAGAAAAGAAAATACAAGCGTCGTCCGCTTTTTACATTGTCTGGCTCGCCATATTGACCGGTCACTGAACCTGCGCGCATTCGCGTCATAAATAAATGCGGCATCGTGTGAGCAAAGACCGTCTTTGGTGGGAGTAACGGCCTTGCAAAGTATAGGACTACGGAATATGGGAGACTATTGATTTTTTGGGGGAGGGTGTGAAGGCAACACCAGAGGACAAAAACTTGGAAGAACATTTCAGAATTTTGATTAGAGTTTTCTGCAAAGCGCGCGTTGGTGCAGGCCGTGTGCGGAATCAGGACCCTTCATACTTTGCAAGTTTGTGTTATTGAAATAATGTGTTCGCGTTTCATTGGATGGGTGATAGTAAATTATACCTACAGTGTATGTTGTAGCTTTCTGTTCAAGACTGGCAGGTTTTCAGTGTCACTGCATCTTGCCCTCCCACAGTTGTTACTACTCTCACACTGCGTGGGTCTACTTGAGCCATTCAAGTTATTGCTTTTCTCTGAGTTTGATTGAGCAATAATTTGAGTCTGTCAGTTCATAACCAGACTGGTTCTTGATAGTCGAAATTTTTGTTCTAAGCCCTTCCGAACTCTCAAAGCAGGATTTATTTTTTTACCTAATAATGAGAGGAAAATATTACCGGTATAATAGACTGAAATATTTAAGTCAAACAAGACCCCAGTACGACACTGAACACTGACATGTTGTTGAATGGATACATGTATATTGTACGCGTGTGTGCTCCCTTTTTCGAGCTGGTGAGCTAGTAAATTTTTTTCAGGAAATATTGCTGGACACCCTGAACATTTTACAAGTTGGTTGGTCGGTCGTGGGGAATACACATTTTCATATTTCCCAATACTCATTTCGGTTTTCTGTGGTTGGCATTTCTGTCCTTAAATAGAAAACCAAAGGGTGAAAGTACATTTTTTAGATTATACTTAAATTTGTACTTAAGTGCCTTTTTAAAGTACTTTAACAGCTCTGGTTTCATGGTAGTTCTTGGTTTATGGAGGGGGGGTTTGCTTTTGAATACTGCAGAATATACCTACATCATCACAGTTACGTTAAATTTCATAGAGGTTATTTTAATAAATTCCATGTAAAAGATTGATTTTTATAAAATTGGCTAATGTTGATCACTAAAAACAAATGCTGGTGGATGGGCAGCCCTGCATCATAAAATAAAAATACACAAGTGGGACATGGTCGTTTATATGGATGGCTGATAAATGGACCGTCCAATTTAGGGAAGTAGGTCAATTTAGAAAAAAAGTAAATGTCAACTGGCAATGTGATGACTTTATTTTCTATTTAAAAGCCTGAGTGAAGATGGGGTAGTGAGTTCTGTGTCAGTGTCCTGCCCCAATATCTCAGAACTTACTCAGCGACTCCACTGAGTACTGTGTTTTATTTGTCTATGTTGACCTCTTCCCCTCAGGCCTCCGAGTCTACTGGAGAAGAAGTAAACAGCAGGGCTTACCCCCTGGCTGACCAGACGTTGACGAAGCAAATTCTGGACCTGGTACAGCAGGCTTCTAACTACAAGCAGCTCAAGAAAGGAGCTAATGAAGGTGTGTGTACAATGTCAATATTCATAAAATAATCCTGATTTAATTAATGTTGTACGTTTTCAAGCATAAATGATCAGCAGAAGTGCAGAAGTATTGTGCCTGTGCCATGAATTTACTTCCACAGCATGAACAGTAATGCAGATAAAGTAATTGAGTGCAGGTGTATGGTTTTGATCACATGGCTGTCAAGACCAGTATTTATAATATTCTTCCAGTGAAATGTCTTCTTTGTGTCACTTTGTCCCGCATTCTTATTGCACAGCAAAAAGACACAAGGAACTATCTTTGGAGCCTTTAAGTTTCTCTCTCTCTCTCTCTCTCTCTCTCTCTCTCTCTCTCTCTCTCTCTCTCTCTCTATATCTCTCTCTCTCTCTCTCTCTCTCTCTCTCTCTCTCTCTCTCTCTCTCTCTCTCTCTCTCTCTCTCTCTCTCTCTCTCTCTCTCTCTATCTCTCTCTCTCTCTATCTCTCTATCTCTATATCTATCTCTCTCTCCGTAATTGTAATTTATTTTCCTTTCGGTTCTTTGTATTGTTCTTTGAATAGCCTAACCCTATGTATAGCATTGAGGGGGGGGGGGATGTGGAAAACGTCACTTTTGAAGTGAAACTCTTTTTGGTGAAATTCAAGTATTTGTGACAAAGAAACAAAAACAATGTTTAAAATCTTACTTTTATTCATACATTAGTTTGACCTTGTGAGGAATTGGGGGGTGTAAGAGAAAGCTATATCAATGTCTGGCTTAAAGACACTTCTTCTCTTTTTCTAAGAGTTTTATTTGTTGATTTTGATATATTTGAATGAAAGGGAATTCACTTGCAAGGTTGTTAGTATGGAAAATGAACATTTTTGTATGTAGTGAAACAATGAATATATCTCATGTGGATTTCTTTTTGTTCCTTTTTTCAGCAACCAAGACTTTGAACCGTGGCTTGTCTGAATTCATCGTCCTGACGGCAGATGCAGAGCCCATTGAGATCCTCCTACATTTGCCTCTTCTCTGTGAGGATAAGGTAAAAATATGGACTGCTTTTTTTTTCTGATGGAAAGTTTTGATTTTCCCAGTTCTGATCATACTGTCAAGTGCTCTTTCTCTGCTTTTTTTGAATTTTTACTTTCACCACTGCAAATTGTCCCTGTGTACAATAGCAATAGTATTGAAACTAAAATACTGTTGTGACTTTTGTTTCATTCTATGTAAAGAACTACATGGTGGCCTATAGATCCATAAATTCAGGTTGAAAGTAGTTGTTAAGATGTGACCTGTTGTCTTCTTTGATCATGCCATTGAGGTTATAGATCGCAGAGCACCGTGTCAATTTAATTCTCATCTGCATTGTTTGGGACATCTAGATTTTAGCAGTTTCTGCTTCGTCTGCTGTGCATTAAAAAAATTTAAATCTAACTCTTTGAAGATGCATCTATTTGTTCTTTTCTGTGTGATTATTTGATTATTGTTATACAGAATTTCACACTGTTCTGTTTTGGGGACTGTTTTCTGTTTTACATGACAGTTTTGCTAATCAGCGTTCCAATGCTCTCATGTAGTGAAACCAGGGCTTGATCTTGGCTTTGAGGTCAAGTTATTGGCAACTGATTTGTTATGAAACAGCTATGAGCTCCTAAAAATTTGAAGAACTCCATCCTCATGTTCTTGCTCAGTTGCCACTCGAAAGCTCTTGTCTTTTTTCTGTGGCAAAATTCTATTTTTATTCCTGTGATTTGTATTTCCAAGAGCTTCTTTCGTTATTTTATAGATTTAAGGAATGTATTTTCTTGTGCAGCAAAGACACAGTATCTGCTATGTTTTGGAAGTAAAATGTTTGAATTTTGTTGATGTTCATATGAATCACTGTGTAGCAGATTTCACTTCCTGACTGATATCGTAAATATATCGTCAACCCCCCCCCCCCCGGAGTGGTGCTATTGTCTGAAGTGTCTTTATGCCATTCCCAAAAGGGGGGCATTAACATGTTCCTATTAACAGTAGAATTGTGAATGTGCTGATACATCAATGTCGTGTTTGTAACTGTGCCTGAACTGCAACAGGGAACTGCTGCTTTTTCTTTCCTAATCCTTACTATCATAATTTTTTCCCTGTACTTCTTTTGTATGTTTGTCACACTCTTGTGACCTGCTATTTCCGGGGTGCCTTGATAGTTGAAGCAGACTTTGTGCTGTTGAAGCTAGAGAGGTGAGCAGAGTAAACCTGATTCCCTGTAAGGACTTCCCTGTTGACATCCACCCCTTGACACTCATATGACCTTATGCAGTTGCAAGCGCCAAAAAACCTCTACTAAAACTACAATATGCCGTCACTCATTTATAGTGGAACTTTTGGCTCATGTATAATATTAAAGTATAAAGGTTAGCTGTGAATGAGATTAATCTTTTTTCTTCTCTGTTTTCTTTTCAGAATGTCCCTTACATTTTCGTGAGATCCAAACAAGGTAAGAATTTCCAGGGTTTGTGTTAAAACATAATAGTGGATAATGAAAAAAATGACCATACTTTGTCTTTAATTTTAATGTATTTCTGAGATTTCTTTGGAGTGGTACATCATTTAATGATAATAATATAAACTTATAAAAGTTTCTCAGTATATTTAGTTCATTTGTAGATTCTCATGGTTTTAAGGAGTATTTAAGTTCTGAAGAGTAATGTTACAGGGGTACTAATTACATAAAAATAGTATTTTCAAATGTTTTATTTATCAGGTTTGACAATGGTGTGGTTTGTCTAGTCCGTGATGTGGTGTGGGCTGGTGCCTGCTTTTTGTCTACATATTTAACCGTTTCGCACTTACAGTGCCCGTATGCGCCCGCGCCGGTGACCCCCGCTCATTCCTATAGCGCCCTCCATGGGGGGTGTTTGTTTCGTTGCCGCGGGAGGCTTCTACTTTTACTATCATCAGAAGTTTCACTTAACTATCTTTATAGAGGAAGAGTTTTGGTTTACTATGGTGTTTTTCTTGTTTCGCTAGCACAAAGAGTCACTTTTTGAACGGGAACAAAAGTCGGAGGAGATTTTAGTTGTAAACACGCCATCATGTCTCTAGGGTGCATGGGCGCAAAGCTGCCCGATATGAGTACGCCAGAAACAAAATAAAAACACCCAAAGAAAAGTCTTTTAGGTGCTTTCAAGTTTCCACCAGAGGCTTCAATCTCTGTGAATGTATAGTATTTCTTTTGCGTGGATTACCTCTTTGTCAGTGGCAGAAACTTCGTGAGTTGAAGAAATGTATACGAGATCTAAATCTAGACTCAGAATCCAAGACACGCATCTCAGCAAGACCTCTCATATCATTTCATACTCATCTAATCCACTTATAATTTTGTACTAGTAATTTAGCTCATTCATTTTCCTTTCAGAAAATACTATTTTCAACATATTTGGTTGTGTTTGTGATTTTATACAATTTTTTTTGGTAAAGTACCCCTTCAATTTTCGTGGAGTTATTGCCCTTGTCTTAAGGGTGGGGGGGCCACAGCTGGCCAAGCCTGGTAAGTGCGAAATTAGGCCCACTATTTTCAATTTTCTTTTGATTTTGCAAATTTTCAGTATAACTTTGTTTTGTGTTAATTGTATCTTGTAATGTTCCAAGTGCAGTGTTGTACTCTGTGTGACTGTGACATTAGCTTTTAGAGACTCCTGCTAATTATCGTTCTTGTTTGTGTCTGTTCTTGCAGCATTGGGTCGCGCGTGTGGGGTTTCTCGGCCCGTCATCGCCTGCTCTGTTATTCAGAAGGAGGGCTCCCAGCTGCACAACCAGATCCAGACTATCCAGCGCAGTATCGAGAGACTTCTCATCTAGACTGGAATGCTTCTCTCCTGTCTCACATGGCAGCAGGCAGGATGGGGAAGCAGACATTTCTATTTTTAGTCACCAGATGTATTCATCTTGTTATTTTTGAAAAGTTTTTCCATGTCCACTAGTTCCCGTCTGTTCATCTTTCATGAAAATATTATTTTTTCCCCCCATTTCATATTTTATCATCCTCCCTCATTCATTTGATTTGTCAGGTCCAAGGGAATGGGTGCGTTTGTTGATATTTTTGTCTATGGTGTGGAAATAAATGAGTACATTTTTATACCATATTGTTCTGCCTTGTTACTCTGTCTGCTGTGTACTGTCAGTATTACTATTGCTCTTGAATGGTTGGTGGGCGCTCAGAGGTGGTCTGCTCCGTTTGAGTTTGAGAGAGTTTACTTTTGGCTGAAACCATTGCCTGGCAAAACATAACTATTAACATAGGCCGTAACCCTATGACTGTTGATAAAGTTGGCACTTATCTGCTGACATGTAATGTTACTGCTGATGACAGCATAGATTTACAGATGCGCTAGAACAGGCCCTCTTAACACTAGTGAAGAGATCTCTATACTTTTTCATCCAAAATCTTGTATCTTTGCCTAGCATTTGTATTCTTGCTAAAATATCTAATTTGATACCAGTTTTGGATCTATCTTTGTCTGGGGTTATTGATCTGAAGGCTGCTAGTATAGTAGTCTCCGCCTAAGATCCCAGTGCTCGGGAGCAAGGAAATGCGGGATAGGCGAACCAGGGTCTTAACCGATGAACCCAGGAAAGAATCTACGGTGATCCATGCTACAGCTCACAATAGGTACAATGGTCTCCCTCCGCTCTAAAATGAACTGACATGACTGCTTGGTGGGTTTATGACATATGGCAAGCAAAGAGTGGTTAACCTTGGTGAATTATCACAGTGCATAGTGGGGTGAGGCGTGCTATTTTCACTTTTTATCCTATCATGGGTCTCAAGATCTACGCGTATCCAGTTGCCCCTCACCCTTACCTGTTGAAAATTTATAGCTTTCCATCTCTGACCGATTCCCCCCCTATCGCCTTTGTTGTTACACACCATTACGCTGTGAACACACCAATTAAAATTCAGTCTGTCTCGCAAATTCTGTAGTAGAGACAACTTCTGCAATGGTCAGGGAAGAGTTCACAGTTCAATGTGATCCCGCCTGGAGCGAACGTTTAGGTCCTGCCCACTCAGCGAGTGATGCAAGTTTAGGGGGAGAGCTCAGGTGTGTGAGTGCGATGCGTGGGGAAAACAAACGTGTCGGTCAGTTCACACCTCGGTGTGATCCTGTCGGGGGCAAATATTGTATTGCTTCATCGAGTTTTACGTGTATGTGATGACATTCACGATACCGGTAGTGTCTGATCTTTGACGCGACGGACAGTTTATTGATCTCAACTTTTCACTCTTGGTCAATCGGCAGTCCCGTCCGGGTTTTTGTTCCACAAATTATGATCTGAAATGCGGGATTATAGCCGAATGTAGACCTTCAGGGTGAATCAGAGCGGGATCTTAGGGGTGACTTTTGTGTAGTAAAAATTCTATTTTCTTAAAACAGCGGGATCTTAGGCGGAGACTACTGTACCATAATGAGTGGAAATTGGAATTTTTGGTTACCTAATAAAGTAGGCACTTCAGTGAACGCGTTCACTATGGCGTCATTTGGCTTCGGAAAGTCCCATAGGGTTTTGTTTCCGGACATGACGTCTCATCGCGACAGTGGGTTCAAACTGCCCATATTTTTGTTTAATTTAGGGAACCAACATTCAAGTCCGATACATGTCTTTAAAGACCTGTGGATGGCCTTCAAAACGCTTCTTTCCAGGTCGATGTGCGACTAATGAGTCTCGAAATATTTGAAGTTGAAAAATAGACAATTTTTAACCATTGATTTTTGATAAATTTTCTCGTCATATTTTTTTCAAACTACCCTTGTTGGTAAACCATTCTTTGTTCTTCCAGAAAACATTTAAATGGTTATCGTAGAAGTCTTACCTTGGCTAGTGTAGTCGTACCCTTTTATCAACCAAATCCGCAAAAACTTAGCTGAACCCTTCCATCGCGCAGAGTCGTGACGTCACACATTTTCGCCTTCAGCTTTTGGCTCCCTCTCTTCATTGTTTGAAATATACGAGACAAGGAAATACATCGCCAAGAAATTTTTAAACTTCAGTTCAAAAAGTTAATCAATTTTGGTAATGTTTTATAATCACTGACCTCACATTGTGCCTTAGTTCATTCGATAGTATAAAGAAAACGAGACTTTTTAGACCCAAGTATTTCCTTTTCACTGAGCTCCCCCTCCCTCCTTTTTTCCCCTGCCCAAAGCCTTTCATTGCGTAGGCCTAGGGCCTAGATCTAGTCCCGACTAGTGTTGTTAACACAGTCAAAAATTAAATAGGGACGCCTATTAAAGTATCTTATGCAATTATTTGTTTGATAAAGTTTCTTAGGTCTATTGTTAGTACCGATCCAGATTTTCTTTCTTTTCTGTCGTATGAACAAGAACGAAAAATGCTATGTACTGGATTGTGGGATCCACTACATGCCCCCCCCCCCCCTCTCTCTCTCTCTCTCTCTCTCTCTCTCTCTCTCTCTCTCTCTCTGGGTGTGTGTGTGTGGTTTCGTGTGTTCCCACTCCCCTCTTACTTTCATAACCGTACCTCTCATTTCTTCTCCATCCCACTTTACCTGCTCTTCAACTTTATACATTTCCTCTATTATTCCTTGTCTTATTTGTCTTATAATCGCCACCGCCGCCATCCTTCCACGACTCACGGTATTAGCTGTGTAAGCCTATTACTCTTTTCCACTGATGAAACAACCCTGAAGAAAGATGCCAGTTGCAACAAAGTGAGCACTTTTGCTCCTCAGTTCTTACTTTATTTTACTTTTTCCTTCCTCTGGTATCCTTCGGATGTCGAGGGGAGGTGCAGGTTTCGGCGTCTGTGATAGATATGCTAATTACTTATATTGTTCCAGGGCCTTTTTAACCCCATCCAGTCAGGTCTTTCTTGGTCTTCCTCTTAATTTAAAGCCGGATTCGCGGGAGTGGTAAGCTCTAGCCGCTAGTTGTTTCTGGGGTATTCTGGTTAGATGTCTGAACCATTTGACTCTTTGACGCTCTAATAAATTTTCTACTGGTAGACGTATGGTCTCATTCCTCATGCAGTCTCCTCTGGTGACGTTGGTGGTTTTGTGGAGACACCTAATTTCGCGTGCATTGATTTTCCTTTCTCATGCCTTGTTTAGAGACCATGTTTGGCACTGGTATGTTAATGTTGGTATTAATATTCTATTGATGAGATGGGGATGTCACTTCAGTTGGGATGTTCTTGTGACTGAGAAGGGGTGCTAGCTGGTAGGTCACTGCATTTGCCTTCATAGTTCTTTTTCTTTGTCCATACGCCCATCTAGTGAGAAGATGCTTCCCAAATATTTAAATTCCTCTACTTGTTGGAGTTGTGTTCCGTCAACAAGGATGTTGAGTTTCCATGGGTTTTTCTTGCCTTCATAACTTCTGTTTTTGAAATGAAAATTGTCATGTTTATGTGTTCACATTCTTCATTAATTAATTTTGTGGTATCTTTTTTGTGATTCTTCTTCTGTATTTAATGTACTCTGGTCATCAGCAAATAGAAGCTCGCTCAGTTCATTGATGTTGTCATTTGCTGCTTTCGTGATCTTATCCATGTAAGTGATGAAGAGAAGCGGAGAGAGAACACACCCTTTTCTCACCCCAGACGTGATGGGGAAACAGTCCGGTAGTCCTTCTGTTGACCTTTCGGCACACCGGCTGTTTTTATAAAGTGCCATGATGTTCTTGAGCAATTGTCCTTTAACACCATATTACTTTAAGACTACCCCCCGGGGCGATGCCACTGACTGAAGTGTCTTTATGCCATTCCAAAACAGGGGACGTTTTAATGCACAGTAGAATTGTAAATGGGCTGATCGAACAATGGCATGCTCATAACTATGCCTGAACTACAACAGGGAACTGTGCCTTTTTCTTTCCTAATCCTTACTATCGTCATTTTCCTCTACTTCTTTTGTATGTTTGTCACACTCTTGTGACCTGCTGTTTCCAGGGTGCCTTGATAGTCTAAGCAGACTTTGTGCTGTAGAAGCTAGAAAGGTGAGCAGAGTAAGTTTGATTCCCTGTAAGGACTTCTCTATTGACATCCACCCCTTGGCGCTCATATGACCTTATGCAGTTGCGGGTGTCGTAAAACCGCTACTAAAACCTCTAAGATTTCCCAAAGCTGACATCTGTTTATCCTGTCGAACGCCTTTTCTTGGTCCACGAAGATGATATTGAGGTCTTGTCATGTCCAATGGCAGTCTCACACAACTGTCCGAATGCAAAAAAAACCGGTCAGTACAGCCCTTGCCTTTTCTGAAGCCAAACTGGGATTCATTGAGTTGAGTCTCTACAATTGGTCTCATTCTCCTTTCTAGTATCTTGGCAAACGTAATATCCACACGGCTGAGAAAGGATATTCCTCTGTAGGCTCTGTGTTGTTTTTGTCGCCCAGGCCAGGTTAAATATCCTCCATAGCCAGAGTTCTCCGATATGGCCGTATAGTTTGATCTCTTCTGCTGTGATGTTTTCAACGCCTATATCGCTTTGTTTGTGGGGCTATTCTTTATAACATGTTGGGTTTCACTCTGCAGTAGTGATGGTTCTGGAGTGGTTTCTTTCGGTGAGAAGCTGTTAGCTGTTGTATCTGCTGTAGGCTACTAGGATTCAACAGCTCCTGGAAATAGCGTTTCTATCTTTCCTTAATCTTTGGCTTTCTGAAAATAGGGTTTTCCGTGCTCATCATTGACTATTTCAGTTTGGTTGAATGCTTCCCGCATCCTCATGCTTTTTCAACTCTCTAGTAAAACTCTCAAAGGTTTTCTTTACATTTTGTTACCAGCTGTTCTCCGTATACTGACCAGGATCTGTTTTTAGCTTCTTTTACTACCCTTGATGTATAGCGGCGGTCCTTTCTGTATAGGATGTAATCTTCCTCCGTCTTTGATTTCTACCACTTTTTAAATGCCTTTTTCTTCAGTTGGACGGCTTCCTTCACTTGTTCATTCCACCATATATTTGTTTTCTTTTTCTGCCCTCTTTTTTTCCTGGTGCCGAACTCTTCTTTCAATGCTCTGTACACACATGCTTTGAAGTGGCTGCATTCCTCTTCCATGTCTCCCAATTTTGGGGGAAATTTGTGAAATAAATCTTTCAAACGTTCATGTATCTTATCCTTGTTA